CTTCATACACTGTGGAATAACACAGAACCAGTTTTTCATCTGAATGTGCACAAATTTGCTGCATCTTCACATTTGTACCAGCAGCTTTGTGATTGTTCATTGCCCCCACCCACTTTGCTATCTATATGTAGAACACACGGCTTCATTAAACACATGCCTAATTTGTTCACTTAACCTACCAATGATATCACTCCGCGGTGGCATGATATTATTTTCAGCCAAAAATACACATTTTTGAAAACAAGACGCCACAACCACAGTACTGTACTTTACAAAATTGGGCTGTACAACTGCTGACCTTGGTGGTCCTTCACTGCTATTCAAAATTGTGTGTCATTTTGTTACCATATCATTGCTTTTTGAGAAACAGACACTGTTGTGGAACAATATTAAATTTTGTTGCAGTGCTTGGCCATGGCCCATGTCTACTTGAGGGTTATACACATGTTTATTTGACCAACCTAGAGTGGGCGTTCCTTTGTTTTTATGTACCAGAAGTCTAGAGAACTCAGTGGAAATGCTCTTTCGTTTTGCACTAAGAACACTCTTTAATAATGCAGGATTTTTGCTGGTTTCCTGGACTGATCCACCTCCTTTTGCTACAAATAGCCCTAATCCCAAAATGCCTCTAAAGCTGTTTTCCATAAACGGGGTAACCTAGTGTTGAAACAGGCTTAGTCCACAGGACGTTTACACAACCTGCACATGCCGACCTCTTTTGTTGATGGATCCACACTAAGGTTGACACAGACCAGTTCAAATCTGTGTTTGTGTGTACAAACTAGTTCACGCATGCAACTTTTCCTTGGATCAGCCCATTTCCCCATTTTTCGCTTCACATTCAGGCCATAGAACGTTGAAAAAACACTGTCTAAAGTCTTGTAAAGATTAGAATTTCCTTGTGTTTTGTCATAGCCCAAGATGTATGCCTGCTAATGGGAATCACTCAAATGGGGGACAGGTACGAGTTGGCATGTCACCCAGCACTGCCTGAGAAATTTACCAAGTCATGTTTAAACATGCTTCATGTTACCAAGCAAAGGAAATCACTGCCTGTTTGTTTACACGTCATCCGGCATAAAATGGTGTACAGATATTGCGTGCTACAGAGTGGAACGAGAGGAATGTTATCACTGGGAAAAAAAGTTTACCTTATGGTATAATAGTCCTTCCATTTTACAAGTTCAAGATCATTCACTTTGCTTTGACGTGAAATGGTTATTTAACAGGGAATTGGTCAATGTTACCCGTATCATGACTAACGTGGCAGCTTCTCTTAACATTTCTGAAAAATCGTCATTTGGGGAGTTCAGTTCCTCCGCGAGAATGCCCAGAGTAAAAAATGCGCCATTGAGGGCGGCAAACAAATTCAGTGATTTGATGCTGTCATAATACAGCTCTTGTTACCCCAGAGTTTCTTGACCTTGTTGCCGTGATAAGGGTTTTATAGCTCTAGAACAGAGGGGAAAAACAGGTAAAGCAAGTTAGAGGTCATTCTCGTCAAATGACCACGGCCATCTGCCTGAAATTCATTAGGACCTTGCTCCGCTTCAAATAATCATACGATCCAGTGTTGATCAACATTGTCAATTGAAAAGCAATTCCAAGGCGCTCTCACTGTCCGGCCTCTTTTAGTTCACAGTTAAGTGTGAGCTAGCACAGTGCTCACGCACACAGGTGCATTCGCCCTGAAATAATGAAACAGTTGTATAATTACAGAGCCGTAGTGTGACGTCATCAAAACAAGCTTTTATTGGATGCTTCCGATGACTGTTGTTTTCATTTTGCGTGATATGAAAGACTTCAACTTGTGCTTTTGAAGTCAGTAGCAATCTTTAGTTTAGTATTTACCTACTACATGGTTTTATATACTAGTAAATTTCATAAAAATTCACCGTTTTGTGTATGACCAATGTGGTTGATCTCTAAAGCCACTCGACTGACATACAGATCCGAGTCTGCTGCGTCGATCGAGTCCTTGAAATCAATGTCCGAAATGAATATGAATACTGGTGCATGATTGTGTGCTTGTCAAGCAGCACATATCGGGTTACAACCTTCTCCCCAGGTTTTGGTTTGCGGCACTCTGCTGTTCAAAATCAGTGAGGATCAACTGTTCAAAAGCCGTTACAAGGATTACCTTAAATTGTTGAATAGTACACGTAAATCCCTTATGGAGCCCTGCCGTGGATGGCAGTAGTAATGAATATCACGTGATTTGAGTCCCACCAATCAAATGACAAGAATATAATTAAAGATAAATCTTTCAGTGGAGTTTTGTTGGTTTGTTTTGCAGATGTACAGTTTGCAACAACAAACTATCATCTTGGTACTTTGAGAGAGACGGTAAGCTGTACTGTAGGCAGGACTACCTGGCCAAGTTTGGGGAATCCTGCAATGGCTGTGCCCAGATCATCACAGGACCAGTCATGGTAAGATGAGAACTATAGTTTGTGCCATATTGAAGGGCTTATCCTGCCGAATGCATCTGTGAACAAATGAGGACACCCATGTCCTCTGTAGAAGCAAACAGGATAATTGTACCATTATTGTGGATCGGGACACAATCATTTGTGTATAATACATGTACATTCACCCATACAGCATCAAGTTGAGTAGGTGATCTCGAAGCAACTTCATCAGAGGAGCTCTCTCCAGGAGCAAAATCTTTTACTGAATCCCCCTGGGCTCTTAACCAGAAACAGTACTGAACCTAACAACGTTCAGCAGATACAACATGTACGATAAGGGGAGTCATTGTTATTATTGGCACTCAGACTGGACTGAATCTGTTACCCGCCAACAGGTCAAGAGTGTTGAAGTTGGAGTCATGTGATGTGGAGAGGTCTCTGTGATATACAGATGACTTGTAGAGCAGCAGCACCAAACCTTTCAAACTCTTGCACAACCCAACACATGGCATCACCAGCCACAAAGTTTGTTCCATACCACAGTTTTTTTATAAAGTTTCGATTTAATGTGTCGTTTAAAACAGTTCCATTCTACTGGTTCCAACTTCAAATTTGCTTTTGACAAAAAAACTTCTTGTTGAGTCTTGTGTGTATGACTCCATGGGTCATGGCGCAGTACAGGACGTGACGCACTTACCGATAAAAGTTTGGCACGACACCCAACACGTTGTAATAACTTTGTCAGTTTCACCAATAGGGCACCAGAAAACATAACCAGGCCCAGTGTATTCAAGAAAATCTTTTTCAATGCTAATTTCATGTTCTTTGATAGCAACAGGAGAAGATTTACTCTATAGTACAGTTGCAATTCACATTATTGTCTGCTCTGCTAATCTAATGCAAAGCTGTTTTCTCTCTTTCACTGTCTAATCTCGTACTTTTCTCGTTCAGCATTTTGGTCAACACTTTAATACTCGGGTTATCCGATTCCAAGAGTTTCCTGACAGTCCAATATTAGGCGGTTGACTCAGTCGATATCATCCTGTTGTTGATATTTGTGATCACAATCCACTTCCTTCCTTCTGCTACTGTTTTATTCTTCTTTCTTTCCCCTTTTTTTTTGGTTCCAACTGAGGTTCCGTTCCTCAGTGACCACTGATGACCGAAACATGAACCAAACGTACAATTTCTTACGTGTATACGAGGTTGTGCTCAAGGACATCATGTGTCATTTTAAACCAATTTTGCCTTCACTCCAACCGAAAAAGGACGAAAGATCTACGTACATGGACAGCACCACCCGTCCTCAGCCTTGTATTGTTTGAGTGATAATTGACATTTGCTGAAGAGTACGCCAGTGTTGAAAATGTTCTCGGCGGCTTTAACAATTCCTTGCCTCCAAAAGGAATGGACCTTTCCCATGAAATATGCAAATAAGGCAGGCGCATGTGCATTACTACCACAGGTTGGCAAAGTTGCTTAAATCTATGATGGAACAATACAAATCTCCATGCACGCAACTTTGAGCACATACACGCCGTTTCTGTATAAGCATAGTGTGGCATGAGTGCCAAACTTAAAGACAAGGAACTGTTACTTTCAGACCGCAGGACACTGGAAACTTCATTTGCTTTCAAGAGAAGTGTGCTGAAGTGTCGGAAAAGGGTTTTAATACGGTGTGGATAGGTTTCAGGTTCATGGTTAAAGCAGGTCTCCTACTCTGCCGACAGTCTTGACGGATGCGCTTGCCAACTAGCGGTAGTAGCACACATGCGCCTGTCCGATTTGCATATTTCACGGGAAATATGCATTTCATGTACCTTTTGGAGAAAATTACACCCACATTTTTGAGTTTGACACCATTCGTGGGACTCATGAATAATACCTAAACTTTTTTTTTGAAATTCTAGCAAAAAAATGAAATAAATTAACAACAAACCAAAACTTTCAATCATCAGAATTATTTACTTTCATGCACTCTGGTTCATGCGTGAATATTCTGCCGATTCCGTGCCTTGCTTGGAAAGTTCCCATAAGCACTGCTACGTG